GCCCTGGGGGCAGCTGCCACGCTCGCTCAGAGCTGGGTCAGACATCGAGGACGCCAAAGTCACACACTGCATCTGGGCCGTCGCCAGCCAGTTATTTTGACTTTTGTCCTGCTACTGGACACTGGATGCCTCTGGAAAAGAGAGCGAGTCGACTTCGCACAGCTCTGCCCAGCTTAAATCCAATTCGTGTGTGAGTGGAAAATGAAGGACCTACCATTATTAGGACGTCCATTCGATAATGAGCTGTGGGCAGCTTTTGGGACAGCTAGAAGGACTGGAGGGGAAGCTGGCCCAGGTCGAGGCAGCTCCTCAGGGACTGCTCAGGTTGGAAGGTTTTCCCTGACTGCTACTGCTGGCTGCCTCACCCCCCCCACTCCTAGTCCGTCCTGTGCTCCAGGCCCAGCCCAGACTGCCTGCCGCCCCACTGAGGCCTTCCTTGGCAGCATTTTGGAAGTCTTGGTGGCCCTGTGCTGGTGCAGGTTGAGAGGACTCCGAGAAGCCAGAATCTTCAGGGGTCCTTCACCTAACCAGGACCTCGGCCTCACTGGGCCCCACCAGGCCCAGTCAGCCCAGGAGGACCAGCCCTTCTTTGCCTGGGTCTCTCCTCCCCCAGGACCCCTCAGACACTGCCTATCTTCTCTGCTTGAAGCTGATCATGCCAGTGGGCCTTGCAGAGGAAGTTACCAGAAGGGGCACCAGGTAGTAATGGGGGGGAACCTCCAAGTACCCTCAGGCATTTAGACCAGGATGACAAAGCCTGGACCACTTAGCAGCTTGAGGTCTCAGAGCAGAGGTGGGGAACCTGTGGCCTTGAGGCCACATGTGGCCCACTAGGTCTTTGGGTGTGGCCTTAAGGCCACAGGTCCCAGAGAGAACTGAGAGCCAGCCTGACATGCCAGGCACAGGAAGCCAGTCAGTGTACCTGGCCTCTGCCCTCTTCAGGGAAGGCCAGGCTGGCCCCGTCCACATTGGCCAAAGAACACTTCAAAGGCTGCTTGCTGGCCACCAGTGAGAGGGGGAAGCAGGCCCCTGTCTCTGTGCTGGCCTCCCTGACCTCCCCACACCTGGATGGCTGCCCTCTGCAGGGCTGCTTAGGGCCAAGACAGGTAATAAGTGGGAAGTGCCCTGAAAGGCCTGGTTCTGTAAGGCCTTACTCTCCCTGTGGGAAAACCGGAGGAACAATTGTCACTCAGCTCTCTGCTCTCATCCTCCAAAGAGGATGGACAGAAGAGAGACTGCAGATGTGGACCCAGGCATCACTGCTCAGGCCAGGCCTGCCTCCCCAGATGCCTTCTGGGCCTTCCACCCAGATACCCAGCAGGTGTCAGGGGGAGGAAGGAGCCCAGTGCTCACTCACCTGGCTGGGCCCAGGCGCCTAACTGGCTTGGGCCCTCATCCCTTCTCATCCCTTCTCATCCCTTGTCATCTCTTGTCATCTCCTCCCCTTATCCCTTCTCATCTCCTCTCATCCTCTCACCTGGACACTGTAGCAGCTTCCTTGGGGGTCTCCTTGGCTCTAGCCTCTCCCCTCTCAAATGTGCCTGGTGTGAAACCTCCTAAAGCCCGAGTCTGACCAAATCCGTCTCCCACTTCAACCTTCGCTGGCTCCCTCTTGCCTCCAGGGTAAAGGCCAGACTCCTCCCCCAGGTGTTGTCCTCCGCCCTCCAGCGGCCACTTCTCTTTCCAGCTTTCTTTTGTCTTGCTTCCGTGCCTTCCCCCACAGCCACCGTCATGTGCTTGCTCCACGGGATGCTCATCTCCTCCTTTTGTGACTTTGCCCTCCACAATCCCGGTATGTTTGTTTACCTCACTACGCCTGATAGCCCGCACCTTGGCCCTGGCTGAGTCTCAAGCCAGGCACACATCACACCCTGACCTCAGTCCAGGTGCTCTCCCATCTGAAGTGGTTTTGTATTGGTTTGCTCATGGCCAGACTGTAATCTCTCTCTCCACACCCCCCCACTAGAGTGTAAACTTCCTGAGGGTGAAGATGATTTTATTTTTGGCCTGGCCCAGTGTGAGGTGCTGGGTCTTAGCTGAGCCTCTCCTGGAGGAACCTGACTCACCCACAGACCTCAGCACAAGCCCGGTGGCCGGGGCGCCTCCAGTATCCTCCCTGGGCTTCACCAGGCACGCTGTCTCCCCAAAGCCCTGGAGAACCTCCCTCCACCCCGACCCCGACCCCCTGGGCAGCTTCTATTCTCAGGCAGTAGCAGGGCTGTGGCTTCCGGGAGCCACAATCAGGGCACGGAGTAAGTGTGTGCACTCGATCTTCTTCTCCAGGCCCAGAGGAAAGAGCAAGGTCACTGGGGGCCCCTCATTCCAGGGTCTCCCATGAGGGATGGGGAGGATCAGAGTCCTTTCTCACTGCAGGGGCCTAGACCCTAGCGAGGCTCAAGTGAAGCCCCCGGGCACCCTTTATCCAGCCGAAGCCCGGTGAGGGAGCAGCTGCGAGGGTGGCTGGGGCTGGCCAGAAGGGGGCTGCTGTGGGACACTGGCCTCCAGGACTTTTCCTTGTTGTTATGAGATCCAGGCTGGGATGAGGGAGCTGGGGCACGTCCTGCCCAGTTCAGTCCGGCCAGGCCGGGGTTAATGGTTGAGCATCACGCCACCCCCATTTCGGGTTCGAGAACAGAGGGGAGGCTCCAACTGGCCCCTATCCAGGCCCCGGGAGCCTTTCCACAGGGGCCCAGCTCTGGGAACAACAGGGCTCTGTTCAAAAGCAAATTGCAGTCCATTGAGTGAGGATGAACAGGCTGTGCCCTCTGCCAAGGAATCAGTGGAGGGAGCACAGTGAGGGCTTGTGAAGAGCCCTGGGCCCTGCCAGCTCAGGGGGTCAAACCTTCAGGATGTCCCAAAGGCCCCCAAGGGCCACCCTGGACAGACCAGGCCCCGACCCTTGTCCTGCCCGGCCCAAACGGGCACCTGAGGACTCAGGCCCCTCCACTGTCTGCCCATCTCCAGGCTCTCCTCCCTCCGGTGTATTCCCCCATTCAGCTGCCAAAGTGCCATCACTCCCCCTCCCCCACTCCATTCAATAAACTCCAGAGCCTCTGGGTTGAAGTACAGCCTCCTCTGGTAGCTTTTACAGACTTCGAAGTCCGGTTCTGGTCAATAAGCATTTATTTAGCACCTCCGGTCATGCCAAGCATGGCTCTCAGTAAAAGTTGGGGAGCTCACAGTCTAATGGCAGGGGTGGGGACACATGTAAGCAACCATGGATAAATAAAGTACAGACAGGCTAAGTTAGAGTGACCAAGCAGGGCAGGCTTCCTGGGGGAGGTAAGAATTCAGAGGCTGGGAAAGGCAGGACTTTAGCAAGGAGGGAGAGTGTTCTAGGCCCAAGGGATAGAACGTCTGGTCAGGAAGGCTGGAGGCTCTCGTTTGTGGGACAGAGATCACCGGATCAGAGGAAGGTGTGAAAAGACAGGAAAGGGGGAGGGGCAGGTTACGAAGGGCTTAGAATGCCAAGCAGAGCATTTTTGATTTGATCCTGGAGGCAATGGAAGTTACAAACAGAGCTCCACTGGAGGTTACAAATCTGGGAACACTTACATGAGCTGATGCAAAGCGAAGTGAGCAGAACCGGGACAATGTTGTACACAGTAACGGCAACATTGTAACAATGATCAGCTGGGAAGGACTGGCTCTCCTCAGCGATCCAATGAGCTGAGACAATCCCAAAGCACCAGTGATGAAGCCCCGGAGACAGAACCGATATTGACTGAAGACAGACTCAAGCAGGCTACTTCCCACTTCCATTTTTCTTTTTTTAAATTCAAGTCTTCTTGTATAAAATGACTAACATGGAAATGTTTTACATGATTGCACACGTATCACCTATTTCTGATTGCTTATCGTCTTAGGGAGGGGCAGAGGGACAGAATTTAGAACTCAAAATATTTTTTTAAATATTAAAATCATGTTAACATGTAATTGGGGGAAAATAAAATACATTTTTTAAAGTGAAGATTATTGTAAAAACAAAAACAAGAGGCAGTAACATGGTGAGACCTGTAGTTTAGGAAAATCCCACTGGAGGCTGGAGGATGGACTGGAAGTGAAGACTGAGGCAGGCAGAAACTATTGTCATGGTCCAGGGGTGAGGGAGGAGGGGCAGAGAAGGGAGATTGAGGAGATGCTGCAGAGGTGACATGGACAGACCTTGGCGCCACCTTGGATCTGGGGGTAGGAGGGGCGAGAATGAGGAGTCCAGGACGACGCCTAGGCTGTGAGCCTGAGGGATGGGAGGACGGTGATAACCTTGACAGTGGCAGGGAGGTTAGGAAGAGTTGGGGGGGGGAGTTCCACTTCGGACAGTTGCCTGCGGGATGTCCCATAGCGGGGTGGATGTGGGAAGGCCCCTCCCTGCCCCCCCTTCTCCTGCTTTCCACCTGCCCTGAGATATTCGTGATTCACCCCCTCGGGATGACACCTTCTGGGCGATGGGACTTTCTCCTCCTCCCCTTTATTTTCCAGTGACCAGAAAAGACGCACTGCAGGGGAACCGTGCCTTTGGCCCTGGCGCCCACCAGCCCACCGAGTCTGAAAAGCCAAGCCCAGAGCAGCGCAGACGGGCATCAGGCTCCCTCTTATTCCTAGATACTCACTCACTGGCCAAAGCCCAAGAAGACAGGAGGCCTGAAATCCAGGCCCCACCCCCACAGATTCCCCAGAAATCAAGTCCAGGGCTCTCCACTCCAAGAGGGTTTGGAAGCCTGGCCTCTGCCACGTCCACACTTCACAGAACAGTGGGTGCTATCAGTGGACCACCAGCCCTCCACCCAGCCTGGATCTTTCAGGTCCTTTGCCTGGAGACAGCAAGCAGACAGTGGGGCTCTGCTTGAAATCTGGGGCTCGGTGACCCCTCCAAAGTACAGGTGCAGGGGAGGGCCGAGATCACCGCCCAAGCCGTGGCTTGCCCCCAGCGGTCCCGCTGCCGGAGCCCTCCCAGCCGGCTCTGGGGTTCAGCCTCTGTCCCCTCAGGACTTGGGTCTGGGTGGTTGCTCATTTTCCTTTTATTGATGTGTGTGCGTGAGCCTGGCCCAGCCAAGGCCCCAGTGCCCTAGCGCTGGGTCAGCTATTCTGAGAAGGCCTGAGTGGCCAGGGACGGGAGCAACTCCAACCAGGGCACAGAGCACGTGGCAGGGTCATCTCCAGAGCCCCTGGCAGCTCTCCTGGGCTCAAAGGAGCACATGCAGGGAAAGGGGGGATGGGTGGGTTCAGCTTTCGAAGGGGAAGCACCCAGATGAAAAAGGAGCGCTGGGGTGGGCGACTTTCAGTGGCGCTGGATGCCCCCCCATCCCCCCAGGGAGGGGCTCGGCTGAAGCTGCATCCACCCAGGCAGCTCCACAGGACGAAGGAATCATTGGTCTCGCCTCCTGAAGCCACAGCTAAGGTCTCCACTCACTTCCTGTTGGGATGATGGCTGGGTGAGTCTCCTTTCTGTCTCCCCCCCCCCCGCTGGCGCTGGCCCCCCCCAGATGAGGACTGCTCAGCCCGGGGGCATCCACGCCTTCTGTTCCCACTGGGCCAGGGGGCCAATTCCTCTGTCTCAGGGTCAGACCAGGCCCCTTCCTGCCAGCCCACATCCCGTGCCTCCAGCACTGACCAGCTCGAGTCTGGGGCCCCCAGGTGGAGAGGGAGCTGGCTCCTGAGACTCTGAGCCAGAGAGAATCTCAGGGGTCACCAAGTGTGGCCTCCCCCCTAGGGCACCCCGGCAGCCTCCAGATGATGGGCTCTGCTCACCTGCTGCCACACAGGAACGCCAGGTTCTGCACCGCCAGGACTGTGGAGGCGTCGTTCTGGCCTGTGACCAGGTGCCGATCCAGGACCACGTGCACGGCATCTGGCTGGCTGGCTATGGGCGAGAGGAGCCGGTGCACCGTCGGGGAAAACCCGGGACACTCAGCTCTGGTACCCCATCCCCCGGAGGCCCTCTCCACCAGGAAGGCTGTGAGCGTGCCAGACACACTGAGGGTGGTCACCCGGCACCCTGGGCCCCCACAATGGGGAGCTATTTAGGGGCTAGGGTGGGGGGCCCAGGGATATCGCCCTCCCATGATAGGAGGGCTGCAGAAGCCCTGGCCTGGCTGGATGTCTAAGGGCCTGCTCCCTTTCTCAGTTTGCTCTTCTGTAAAGTGGGGGCACCAATCCCGAGAGGGCCCCTCTCACAGGGCTTTCCTGAGCAGCGATGCCGGCTGCTGCGGCACTCAGGGGAGCTCCTGGGGCTGTTTCAGTGGCCACCTCCTCCAGGGTGGGACGGGGGAATCCTTGGGCAGCTTCCTGCCCGCCAGCTGGTCACTGACACCCAGCATGCAACGGGACCTGCCTTGCTGGAGGCTCACCAGGGCCAGCAGGCAATCACAGAGCTCTGGGTGCGCCTCAGGGAGGCACAGAGAGCCCCCATGTGGTGCCCACGTGGCCAAAGCCAGGCTCCGGAGCTCCTGGCACTGTGGGGGACCTCGCGGCTCTGGGGAATGCGGCCTTGACAGAGTCACGGGGAGGGGCGCACAAGGGTTCTGCTCAAAGGAAGGCCTCCGCAGAAGCCTAGGTCTGGGAGGCAGCCGGGGCTCCGGCCGAGCTCTGTCACGCCTGTCCCAGGAGTACAAAGAATGGCTACCTCTCAGCTGGCACTTACACACACTCTGCAAGGGGGATCTCGTTGGATCCTCATAACAAATCTGTGCTGAGGTAGGTGCTATTATCATCCCCATTTTGCAGAAGAGGAAACTGAGGCAGGCAACTGCTAAGCAGCTAGTCAGGGTCTGAGGGCCTTCCTGACTCCAGGCCGCGGGGCCCCCCCCCCCCCCGGCTGCCCCCTGGACCTTCCCTCCAAAGCGTCTTTGTCCATCTTGGCTCTGGACTCTGCGAGGCCATGGCCACGCTCCCACGTGTGTGTGGCACCTGGGCCCCTTACCACTGAAGCTGGCCCCAGCATCCTTCACAAAGTCTTCCACGATGATGGGCAGGTGGCCAAAGCCAGGCTGTCGGATGAGCTCGCACACAGAGGGCTGGGAAGACAAGAGAGGGACGGCCCCTTTGGCAGGATTTCTGGGAAGGGCCACACCCTGGGCAAGGCCCTCCCCTCCCCTCCCCTCCCCTCCCCCCTCCTTCCCTCCCCTATCCCCTCCCGTCCCTCCCCCCCCCCCCCCCCCCCCCCCCCCCCCCCCCCCCCTCTCCTCCTCCCCCCTCCTCCCCTCTCTCCTCCTCTCCCCTCCCAACTTGGGCTTCTGGAGTCTGGGGCCTTAAGCCAAGGCTCTGGGCCCACCTGGGCACCCTGGCCCTTCCCACCAGAAGTCCTGAACAAATATTCCAGATTTGGTCCCTGAATTCTGTGACGGGGAGAATGCCGGTCCGGTCACGTGGGCAGGCTGCTCAGATGGAAGCGGCCCCCGGCCTGGAGGCCCCCCACGGGCCCCCCTCAAAGCCTCTGCTCCCCAGGGCTCTGCTAGGACTTACTCCAGTCATGCTATAATCCTGAAACACCCAAGACTTATCCTCCTTCGTGGCACAGCAGAGGGCAGCCACGCCATGCCCCACGGCACAGATGGGCTCTGGAAATCAAAGGCAGATGGATGAGGGCTTCAGGCCAAGCCCAGACAAAAACAAGAAGGGCACGACATGGCATCAGGAAGTCTCCACTGCAGTGGTGGGAAAGGTGCCTCAGTTTCCCCATGTGCAAAATAGGCTGAGCCTGCCTGGGGGGCAGGGGCACCTGACGTGGCATGGGGGATGGAGCACCACAGACAAGCGCCTTGCCCGGCCAGGGAGAAGCCCCCACCATTCACCTGTGCTGCTCTAGAGGGGAGGCCAAAGGTCACCGGGATGCCATGCACATCCCACGGGGAACCAGAGGGGAGGAAGTGACCAAGGGCTGCCCCAGGGTGCCGGTGGCTCACAGCCTTCCTGGAGGGCCTCTTACTTCAGGGGTCAAAGGAGCACTCTGGTCTACATGTGTCTGTCTTGGTCTCCACTCAGGCTCCGCCTCAGGCAGGACCCCCTCCCCCTTCCCGGGGGCAGGTCACCTGAGGGGGGATCTGTTTGGATGAGCAGCTTTGGCTCTGTCTCCTGCCCCAGCAGCCCTTGACATGGGCCCAGCCCAGGCTCCCAAGGGCCAGGATGTGGTCTCTGCCCAGCAGAGGAGACATGGGTGGCCCTGCACCTCTGGTGAGATCCAGCCTCCACAGGCAGCCGGGATCGCTCACCCACTCGCCAGCCAAGCTCCTCTGGGCCAGCCCAGGGGAGGACCCAGGGAAGGCCTGGCACAGAACCCACACACTTCCCAGAGGGAGGAGGGGGTAAGGAGGCACAAAGGGGAAACCCAAATCTCCAAGGGCACTGCCACAGCCTTGTCTACAGATGAGGAAACTGAGGCTAGCTGGAGATGGGAAGAACCAGCTAGAAGGAATCCCTTCTCAGATACACCAACAGCCTCTGCTTGCAGCCCCAAAGGGACAGGAAGCTCACTACCTCCAGGGCACCCTGGGACAGTCAGGATTGTTCCGAACTTCTGGCCCTTGGCACCTCCCCGCCCACGGCTCCCCCTCTGTGCAGGTCAGCCCTTTGGCCCCATGGGCATAGCTCAGATGGGCCATCCCTCGTTCCCTCTTCTAGCCACAATCCTGCAGCTTACCACGGCCCTCCAAAAGGTCTGTGGCAGCAGCACCACGGTGCCCAGACTGGATCCCTGACCTTCAGGGGGGCCCCGAGGGGCTCTCCCCTCCTGCTGCCTGTGGCTCAGCCTCTTCCGGGGAAGCCCCAGAGGCCCTCAGCGAGCCCCCTGGCCCCCATCCTGTGCTTTGTGGAGTTAATATTTTGTACCCAGGCCAGCCACCTCATTTCTCTCTGCTGAGTTTGAGCTCGAATGCTCTGGTAAGGAAAGAGACTGGCCCAAGGTCACTAGGCTAGCACGTAGTTACAATGAGGTTCTAAGCCTGGTTCCTCATACTCTGTGGCTGAGAATACCCGCCCCCCCCCACCCCCCCCCCCCCCCCCCCCCCTCTTCTACAGTAGAAGGCCCTGGCCTCCTTCATGCCAGGCTGGCCTCAGCTCCTTGTCCTTCCCCCTCGCCCCTCACTCTGAGTCACTTACTCTGCTCAGTGCTGAAGTGCTCCAAGATCCTGGCCAAGTACCCACTGTTGGCAAGGTCAGTCAGTGCCCCAGGACAGCTGGGGATCAGCAGGGCATTGTACCTGGCACCTAGAGGGGAAGAGAGGCAAATGACACCCAGATACAGCAAACCCCCCACACACTTCCCTCCTCTCAGCAGAGGTGGGGGACCACAGGTGCGGAATGCAGCCTACACTGTCAGATAATTACAGGAACAGCTACAAGAGAAGGGGTGGACTCAGGGGAAGCGATGGGCTTAAAAACAGAAGGTGCCAGCGCTCGTTTAAATAAATCAATCTATATATATTGGCTGACGATGCTTCCAGTGAGGCTCCTGGGAACACCAAGGAGACCGCCCCCCACCCCAAGGGGATGTAAGGGGGCCTGGGCTGTGCCCCATGGGGGTGCCCATCCTGGAGCTGCTGGGCATGATGGCAGCTGCCTTGTGCTGGGAGGTAGGGGGAGGGACATCAGAAAGGCCAGATCCTCCGAGAGGCGCCGAGGCCCTAGGGAGGCAGTCACCCCATTGCCTCCCCGCTTCCTTGAAAGCTGGTGCTGTGCGGCAGCAAGGTGGTGCAGTGGATAGAGCTCTGGCCTTGGAGTCAGGAGGACCTGAGTTCAAATCCGACCTCAGACACTTGACACCAGCCGTGTGACCCTGGGCAAGTCACTTAACCCCAATTGCCTCACCAAAAAGCAAAAATGGAAACTGTCGCTGAGAAACCTTCATTTCCCTCAAAGACACTGCAAACCTGCGGGGCCCCTCACCGTCGATGGACTCCAGCTTGGCGGGGCTGGCGTAGGCCTTCATGCGGAAGTCCTGGATCCAGCGCATGCTGCTGTCATTCACGCCCACAAAGTCAATGGCCTTGCCCTGGCGGGGTGGAGATGCGCGTTGGGCAGCCGTGACCGCCGGGCCCCTGTGTCAGCCTGGCTGCCCCGGCGTCCCCTCCGGGGCCGGGGCTCCTTCCAGGAAGGCTTCCTGTCCTCCCCCTGGGTCAAGCCCACCCTTGGGTCCAGCAGCTTGGACCCTCTGCATCCTGGTTTCCCTAAGGTCCTTGCCAGCATCTCCTGGGCTGGGAACCTGACCCCTCCCTCTAACCAGAAGGCCTCCCCTAGAATGCCTGCTGGCCAGGGCCCGGCTGGTACGCTCGCCTCCTCCCCCGGGGGCACCTTCTGCACCCTGGTTGGCCACACATGAGCCAGCTGCTAGTGGCACCCTGGATTTATTCTCTATATGCTCATAGGTGCCTGGTCCTTTCTTCCAACATTGTAAGCCCCCAGAGGGCAGGTGCCATTTCAGTTACTGTCTGTGTAGCCCTAGGCAGTGCCCAGCCCAGGATCTGGCCCAGAACAGGCCCTTAACTGATGCCAACCCTTCCGGAATGGCCGGCCCTCTCCTGGCAGAATGAAACTGGCCCCCGCTCATGACTCAGCAGCCCAGGGACGAACTGAGGTGCCCACGCTCCTGCTGGATGCAGGAGAGGACCAGCCCCCTGGACCCCTTTGTTGATGCAGTTTAGGAGATCTTGAAGGCAACTTGTCCATCTCAAAACATACACTCACATGCACACTCACATCCCTCCACAACCACAGATAGCCGCCCCTACCTCTGCATACGCACACTTACATATACACATACACAGATATGCCCCACACCTCCCCACAACACACCCCCGACATCCTCCCACACACACACACCCCTCTCTCCATCAGAACCAGTCAAGATGCTGATCCCCAGGCCAAGGGTCTAATTGGAGCTCAGCTCCACACTCCAATGAGGCCTGTCACCAAATCTTGCCAATTTGAGCAGTATGTAGGGAGTGCCAACTATGGGCCAGCCCCTGGTGCCACAGACATAGAGCTTTCTCAGGCCCCACCTGGAAGAAGTCTGTCTGTTAACCTTCCCTCCTGACACACAGGGAATGAGAAAAAGGAAACCAGGCTCTTTTGGGGGTGGGGGCCCAGAAAACCCAGGGCACAGGACTGCTGCTTCCCCTCAGGCTGCACGGACCACCCGGAGACCCACCGGCACTTACCCCTGGTGTGGCCACTTGCAGGTTGAAGGCGGCACTGCCCATGGTGAAACAGTGGAGGAATGAGTGGGCTGACACACCTGTAAGACATGAGCAACAGTCAGGAATCCTTGGGCATGTGCCCGCCTTAGAGGCTGGAGCCAGGCAGGAGGACCTGCAGGGGTTGGGGGAGGAGGAGGCACCTCCAGAGCCTAGGCTGGCCAGGTGGGAGCCACCCTCTCCAAGGCTTCCAGAGGAGCCTCCCTCAAAGCTTGAGAACCGTGGATGCTCTGTGAGCACACACTGTGCTAGCCTTCCCTAGAAAACGGAAAAGTCAGATAGGAGAAAAGGAGGGGAAGAGCTCAAGACCCAACACGCGATTATTGCAGCAGAAGGTGATATGATTTTGGTTAAAGTTAAAAGTTTTTGCACAAACAAAATCAATGCAGCAATGAGGAGAAAAGAAAGATAAATGGAGAAAAATCTTTACAGCAAGTTTCTCTGATAAAGGTCTCATTCCTAAGATATATAGGTTAGTGATCCAAATTCATAAAAATAAGAGCCATTTAGTTGTGAACTGATCCAATCATTCTGGAGGACAATTTGTAACTATGCCCAAAGGGCTATAAAAATGTGCATACCCTTTGACCCAGCAATAGTATTTCTGGGGAGGTATCCCAAAGAGATCATAAAAATGGGAAAAGGACCCACACATACAAAAATATTTATAGCAGCACTTTCTGTGGTGGCCAAGAATTGGAAATTGAGGGGATGCCCATCAGCTGGGGAATGGTTGAACAAGTTGTGGTAAATGAATGTAATGGAATACTATTGTTCCATAAGAAATGGTGAGCAGGCAGGCTTCAGAAAAACCTGGAAAGACTTGTATGGTCTGATGCGGAGTGAAGGGAGCAGAACCAGGAGAACGTTGTACACAGTAACAGCCACGTTATGCGATGACTGACTTTGATAGACTTAGCTCCTCTCAGCAATGCAAGGATCCGAGATGATTCCAAAAAACTAAAGATGAAAAATGCTGCCCACATCCAGAGAAAGAACCGTGGAGTCTGAGTGCAGACGGAAGATGACGGTTTGCTCTTTTTTTTGTTTTTGTTTCTTCGTTCTTGTGGTTATTCCCTCTGGTTCTGATTCTTCTTTATAACATGACTAATGTGGAAATATGTTTAATAGGATTGTATGTGTACAGCCTATATCAGATTGCATGCTGTCTTAGGCAGGGGGAAAATCTGGAACTCAAAATCTTATAAAAGTGAATGTTGAAAACTAAAAATAAATAAACACATTTTATTTTTATTTATATATATATATTTTTTTTTTTAGGCAATGGGGCTAAGTGACTTGCCCAGGGTCACACAGCTAGTAAATGTTATGTGTCTGAGGCCAGATTTGAACTCAGGTCCTCCTGAATCCAGGGCTCCGCTCTATCCACTGTGCCACCTAGCTGCCCCAATAAACACATTTAAAAAAAAGAATAAGAGCCATTCTCCAAATGATAAATGGTCAAAAGGACAGGCAGTTTTCAAAGGAAGAACTCCAACTGTAGCCATATTTAAAAGTATGCTTATCACTAATAATTGGGAAAAAACAAATGAAAACAACTTTAAAGTTCCAACTCAAACCCATTAGATTCACAAAATTCACAAAAAACAGGGAAAACAACAAAAGCTAGAGGGGCTCTGGAAAAACAGGCACACCGATGCATTGCTGGTAGAGCTGTGAACTGGCTTAGTCGTTCTGGAAAACTATTTGGAGCCATGACCCCAAAGCTAGTAAACTGTCCTTCCCCTTTTACCTAGTGATACTGCTAAGAACAGCTAGGTCTATTGTTAATTAAATAATAAAACTGAGTATCATGCAAACAAATGATTTATTTAGTAGTGAGTGCATGGGTGGCAAGAACCAGAACTTTAGTTTTCAGCCAGATAATGTACAGTTTGGAGGGAAGAAAAAACAGGATGAAAGAGTAAAGACAACTGGCTTCTTATTGGAGGAGCAGAGCTAGAGACAATGGGGTGACGGGGAGGGTTGGCTGGAGGAGAATGGGAGACAATCAGGATACACTGAGGAGAAAAAGGAAAAAGGGTAGTTTTGTGACATTCCCTAAATCGGGGGACCAGAGGGGGGAGTCTTGTGACTTCTCCAAACTCAAGTGACTTTGAGACTTAACCTCACAAAATGGTGGATAAAGGCAAAATGGAGTCACTAATGCTATTTCCATACTCACTATACCCCAAAGGGATCAAAGAAAGGGGGGAAAGACCTCCAGGTACACAAAAATTTATAGCAGCTCGTTCCACGGTGGCAAACGAATGGAAACTGAGAGGATGCCCATGAACGGGGGAATGGCTGGACAAGTTTTGGGGCCGCTAGGTGGTGCTGCAGTGGATTAGTGCGCTGCTCTGAAGTCAGAAAGGGTCATCTTCCTGAGTTCGAATCTGGCCTCAGACATTTACTAGCTGCGTGACCCCGGGCAAGTCGCTTCACCCTGTTTGCCTCAGTTTTCTCATCTTTAAAATGAGCTGAAGGAGGAAATGGCAAACCACTCCAGGTTCTCTGCCAAGAAAACCCCAAACGGGGTCGGGAAAAGTCAGACAGGCCTGAACAACAGCAGCCAAACTGGACACGTTGTGGTATATGGATGTGAGGGAACACTACTGTGCTGTAAGAAATGATGAAGGGGACGGGAAGACTTGTCTGCACTGATGCAGAGGGAAGGGCGCAGAACCAGGAGAACAATTTACATAACAGCAATACTGCAAATACCAACAACCAGGAAAGTCTTCAGAGCTGGGGTTACTGCAGTGACTGACCACTAGGCCCCCAGACCGAAGAAGCAGCGGGCTCCCCGCCTCCTGACAGACAGCAGGCTCGGACACGGACTTTCTGGACATGACCAATGCAGGAATTGGCTCTGTATGGCTAAGCACACTCGGTACAAAGTTTTCCTCCTGAGCACTCCCACTGTCCTCCTGGTGGTTCATCAAAAGCCCTAAACTTAAACTCTGTGCCTGGCTTTGCTGACAGAGAATCATCAGCTTTACTAGGACAAAGGGGCTGGGGGAGAGGCCAAGGAGATTAGCTGAGAGAATGCTGGAGGATTAGTGAATCTGGAGCCAAGATTAGGGCTAAAAGGGCAGGCTGGATTGTATCTTTCCACAGAGGCTCAGGAATGGAAAGTGGGCCACACACAAGCCAGGACTCAAGTCTCATGCCCTCAGCCGCCTACTTCCACTGGGAGATCCGGCCCCACAAGTCTGACACTGAACCTTCCCCTTTCCCAAACTTCCCTGTTACTCTGGAGACCCCGGGCTCCCCCTAGGAGTCATCCTCCACTCCACTCCCTTATTTAAGATTTGCCAAATCTACCTCCATGACACCCCTGGGAAGCACCTCTTATAGCCTTGCCCCGGTTCAGACTGTCTCCACTTCTCCCCTGGATTATTATAGTAGCTTCCTAACTAGCCTCACCTCCCTGGGCAGGGAGGCGAACACCAGAGTGCACAGTGTGCAGATTCACCTTCCTGAGTTCAAATCTGGCCTCAGGCACTTACTAACTGTGTGACCCTGGGCAAATCACTTCACCCGGCTTGCCTGAGTTTCCTCACCTGTAAAATGAGCTGGAGAAGGAAATGGCAAACCAGTATTTCTGCCAAGAAAACCCCAAATGAGGTCAGGAGATTGGACAGGACTGAAGAACAAGCCTCCGTGCCTCCACTCTCCCCACTTCATTCCATCCTCCATTAGACTGTCAAAGTGATTCTCCTAAGTGCAGACCCAAGCCTATTGCCACCCTACTCAATACAGCAAATTCCAGTGGCTCCCCATTTCCTCCAGGATCAAGTGAAAACTCCTGTTTCTAATTTAAAGTTCTTCACCATCTGGGCCCACTCGTGTACGACTCTCTGTGACCCCATTTGGGGTTTTCTTGGCAGAGATACTGGAGTGGTTTGCCATTTCCTTCTCTAGCTCGTTTTACAGATGAGGAAACTGAGGCACACAGGATGAAGTGACTTGCCCAGGGTCACACCAGCTTACTTGCCTGTCTTCACACAAAACACTTCAGCGTCTATCTCTATGCCTTGGCCGTCCCACAGGTTCTTGGGGGGGGGTGCTCTCCCTCCTTCCCAGACTCAGCTGAAACTCCCTCCTGCATTGTTCAGGAGGCCTTTCCTGGCTCCTCTACTCCCCCCATTCTGAAGGGAATTCTTCCCATTTGTAGATAACACTGCATGTTTGTGTCTCCCATTAGAAAGTGAGCTCCTTGAGGGCAGGAGTCATGTTTTTGCTTTTCTTTGGATCCCCATTGCCAATACAGTGCCTGGCCTATTAATACGTAGAGTAAAAACATCAATCTATTGCTTGTTAAAAGTCGTTCAAAGAGACCAATGCAACAAGAAGGAACGTGCCAACTTAGAGTTTTCAAAGGCACATCCAGAATATGGGGGCCAGGGCATCGTACAGGGGTAAACAGGAAAGAATGACTCAGGCCTGCAAGAAGTGCCTACAGAGAGCCAAGAGGACACAGGGCTTCTGGTGGGTGCCGTGGGCACCCTAACCCTAACCACCCACTGTGGGCCGAGGGGCTGCCCATCCACTGGGAACAGGCCTAGGAAGTTGATGAAGAATGCTGCAGCGATAGGGGCTGCCTTCAGAGAACCCTGGAAGACCTGCCTGAGCTGATGCAGAGTCAGGGAAGCCCAAAAAGACAAGCTGTTGCCACAGTTAATGGCAACATTGTAGCCAAAGGCTTAGTTACAGTGATCAACAGGACTTCAAAGCGCTGGTGATGAAAGGTGGTATCTGCCTCCAGCCAAGGCTGCCGCTGGACTCAGGGCAGAGCGAAGCCTGTCTTCTCTCTTTTTTCGAACTAACTCAGGAATCTGTTTTGCAGGATTATATCGATGGGTAATTTGGTAGACTGTCTTCTCATTAAGTGGAAGGGGGGAGAGGAGAGGGAGAACATTTGGATCTGAAAATAAAATTGGAATTAGAAAAAATTGAAATAAAAGACAATGGGTGAAAGGAAGGTTCCTCCTGCTCAGGGTGGATGGGGCTGATAAGTGAAGGCCCAGGGGACTCAGTGGCCTGCTGTTATTCTGTCCAAAGGGAGAGTGACCTTTGAACTGGGAAAAGAAAGAATAAACATGAGTAATCAGGACTTGATACCCAAGATAAGTAAGAGATAAAAGAGATCAGAGGGCCCAAGGGCGAGAGTTCCTGTCCCCTGGCCCAGGTAAACTTCACCCCCCCTGCACAGAAAGGCCTGACAGATGTGGCTGCCTTGCCACTTGGCAGAGATAGTAGCTCCGAGATGGGGTCATAGGACAGGGGCCAAGGAAGTACCGACTGTGAAAAAAGGGAGAAGGGAGTGAGTCTGAAAAAGACAGCTCAAGAAGTCGACCTCGGTTTCCTGCAGGATCCTAGCACCAGTAATTAAAGGCGTGGGAATGCGTCTCTAGAAAAGGAATGCGGACCACAGAGAGCCAGGGGGCTTCAGTTGTGCCACTCTGACGGGCTTTCCTTGGGGGGCAGGGTGACTACATCCGGCCCAGCCTATGCCACAGTTCTCAGACCCCCCCATTCCTCTGGACAAAAGGGAGTGATGGGGTCCATCCTGCCAATTCAGAGTGGCATGGATGGCACACCCATAATAATGGCAGCTCCCAAACCCCCTTTACAGCCACACTGATTGTTTGCTCCACTTTACAGATGAGGAAAGTCAGACTAGGAGAGGGCAAGGAACTTGTCTAGGGTCACACAGCAGTGAATTCCTGTTAGGGGTGGGGCAGGCATCCTCTCTTCCACCACACACACACACACACACACTCTCTCACTCTCTCTCTCTCTCTCTCTCTCTCTCTCTCTCTCTCTCTGTTACCAGAAAGGTCATTAGCGTCCCAGGATGGGAGGTGTCTGCCCCAACCAGTTTCGAATTTGTCTTTGGACAAACCTGCTCGGACCCCAACAGGGTTCTGGCCTGGGCTCCCGGGCCGCTGATCCGCTTCAGTATCACATGGCTTAAAGGCCAGTTGAGGAGACCAGGGCTGGCTTCATTTCTTTCTTTTATTTTTTTTTTTTTGTGAAGGGAGCCTAAAGTCAGAAGTCCTGAGTTCAAGTTTGAGCCTCAGACACTTCCCAGCTATGTGACCCTGGGCAAGTCACTTCAACTCTGCCTCAGTTCCCACATCTGTAAAATGGAAATAATAACGGCATGGCACCTCCCTCCCAGGCTGTTGTGAAGATCAAATGAGATATTTGTAAATCATCAGCACAGTGCCTGGCACACAGCAGGCACTCAACAAATGCTCATTCTCTCGGGACTCTGTAAGTGGTAGGTGATTAATTAATGCTTGCTGAATGGACCTGAAAGGCCTGTGGGCGAGTATCCAGACCTGAGAACCATGTAAGAGCTCCCCGGGTTCTGCTGGGCCGATGCCTGAGGACAGCAAAGGGCTTCCCAACACAGGGCAGAATTCTCAGAGGGTCCGTCCACATACAGCGGACTGACTGCCGTAGGAAGCAAGAGGCTCCCTCAGGTCTTTGGTTCACAAGACGGACGACCACTGGGCATCCTGGTCAGGTAGAGAGTTGGACAACGTGACCTCTGAGGTCCCTGCTTGCCCCGAAATTGCGTTCCTATGAAAACCTTCGCCAAGAAAAACGAATGGGGAAGAAAAATGGCAAAGACCACTCGTGTTTCTAAGGCAGACTTGCCAAGACCGGGGCTGACGGCACATAACGAGCAGGGGCCAGGACGAAGCTGGCGGCCACCAGCTGAGTCTGCAGGGACACAGACGGGGAAGGAAGCATCGAGCAGGCACCTGGGGAAGAGCAGGGCTGAGCTCTGGCGCGAGGGGTGAGGGCGCTGTCGGTGTGGATGGACTACGTGGACAGCTCAGGATCATTGACTCTTAACAGCGACTCCCACATCTACCTCAGGACAGCCCTGTGGCAGCCAGGCCTCAGAGAGTATCCCCATCTGAAAGATGAGTTAACTGAGGCTCAGACAAGGGAAAGGCCTGGTGAGTGTGGTGAGTGGCCCAGCTCCCAGGGAGGGGGAGGGAGGGGGAAGGAGGGGGGGGGGG